CCCCGGGCTGGCCCGGACCGCCCCGCCCCCCAAGAGTCTGTCGAGGGCGGGGAAGTAGGGGCAGGTGTCAGCCCCTGCAGCGGCGCCGCCCCTGGTGGCCCTGGCGTACCCCTGCCGCAGCTGCTTAACTTTAATGCGCACCTGCTCCCGGGAGCGCCTGTGTCCCTTGCGGGCCATGGCAGTCGCTATGCGGCTGTAGACAGCCACGTTCCTCCTCCTAGTGCAGAGATCTTGGAGATTGGGGACCTGCCCCCAAATCTCAATGAGGTCCATGACCTCCGCACTAGTCCAGGGGGCCGTGCGCCGTCTACGGCCCCTGGCTGGCCCCTGGGTGCTCGGGGACTGGGCAGGGGGCGGCTCCCTGCCACTGGCTGCCTGGCTCATGGTGGGGCCACTGGCTCAGGGGTAGACACTGCTGGCAGGGCTGTCTGACTCCAGTGCCGTCTGACCAGAGTCTACCCCTTTAAGGGCCCGGGGCTGGGGGAGAGGAGAAGAGTTTTCCTGGTTGTTCCCAGAGAGGCCACCAGGGGGAACCTGGGAAGGGCTAGCCTCCCACTAGTTCGAATTAAGGGTCTACACAGTCCTTAATTCGAACTAGTAAGTTCAAAGTAGGCTTGATCCTCGTAAAATGAGGTTTACCTAGTTCGAACTAAGCGCTCCGTTAGTTCGAATTAAATTCGAACTAACGGTGCGCTAGTGTAGCGCCTATGAAAGTTAGTTCGAACTAACTTTGTAGCGTAGACATACCCTGGGTTTGCCTTTAATTCCCCACTCCACCCCAGCAATACAATACAGACACTGTTGTTCAGAGAACATGCATTTTTATTTAGGGAAAACAGCAGTGAAGTAAATGGGAATTCAAAGTGGGGAGGGAGTCTCAGAAACACGTGAAGGACAACCTTTTGTATCCCGAGGTCCTAGAGGATAAGGCTGCCCCTGAGTTCACCCCACCACCACCCCGGGGTCCTGGGGCCTCAGCACTTCAGGGGTGAAAGCAATGCAGCTGGAGGAGAAAGAACAGGTATTTTGATCCAGGCAGACAGGGTTCTGGGAGAAGGCCATATTTAGGCATGCAGTCAAGCACTCCATAACTGTCATCAGGGAGGCAGAGATGCTCTACTGTTGCCTTGCCTGCAGCTCGCTCCTTGAATATATCGTCCCTTGTCCATTTTCACTTGTGTATTTGCACCAGGCGGACAAATGCTGGAGCCAAGGAAGTACACAGCAAGCTGGCTTCTGTTCCCACTATAAGGAAAAGTTACAAGGGCACAGATTACAGGAGATACATTGTGTTAAGACTAGCCCATATCTGCTATCACATAGTGAAGGTCTTTGTAAAGACAATCGAGATGTGTTCTATGCAAGGCCACATGTTTGCTTTAAAGCAGCCACTTTGCAGTAGGTGCTCAGAGTTCTCAGAGAAGCATGTGGACTCATACAGTTAGAAGGCAGGCAGGTATGCATGGTAAGGGCAGATTCAAAGGCAGGCAGGAGAGGACGGGACAGGGCAGCTTCTCTCTGTGTCTGGCACACATTGTGTCTGGCACACGTGGCTTCCCAGGGCAGTGCTACTTTCCCAGACCACAGGAACCTGCAGGTGGGAGAGGGATCTTCACATGCAGTTTCCTGGGACGGTGCTATTTTCACAGCCCGCAGGAGCTTGCAGGTAGAGGTGGGGAATGGGACAGGGCAGCTTCCCTCTGTCTGGCTAAGATGGAGTATTGTGTCCAGTTCTGGGCACCACATTTCAGGAAAGATATGGAGAAATTGGACAAGGTCCAGAGAAGAGCGACAAAAATGATTCAAGGTCTAGAAAAAACATGACCTATGAAGGAAGACTGAAAGATTCAGTTTGCTTAGTTTAAAAGAGAGAAGACTAAGGGTATGTCTACACTACGGCGCTAGTTCGAACTAGCGGGATAATGTAGGCATACCGCACTTGCAAATGAAGCCCGGGATTTGAATTTCCAAGGGCTTCATTTGCATAAGCGGGGAGCCACCATTTTTAAAACCCCGCTGGTTCGAACCCCGTGCAGCGCAGCTACACGGGGCTCGAACTAGGTAGTTCGAACTAGGATTCCTATTCCTACACCTCGTTCCACGGAATAGGAATCCTAGTTCGAACTACCTAGTTCGTGCCCCGTGTAGCCGCACTGCACGGGGTTCGAACCAGCGGGGTTTTAAAAATGGCGGCTCCCCGCTTATGCAAATGAAGCACGAGAAATTCAAATCCGGGGCTTCATTTGCAAGTGCGGTATGCCTACATTACCCCGCTAGTTCGAACTAGGAGGGTAGTGTAGACATACCCTTAGAGAGGACATGATAGCAGCTTTCAAATACCTAAAAGGGTGTTATGAGGAGGAGGGAGAAAAATAGTCTCCTTTGCCTTTGATGATAGGTCAAGAAGCAATGGGCTTAAATTTGAGCAAGGGAGGTTTAGGTTGGACATTAGGAAAAACTTCCTAGCTGTCAGGGTTGAATAAATTGCTTAGAGAGGTTGTGGAATCTCCATCACTTAAGAGCATTTTGGACAGACATCTATCAGGGCTGATCTAGATGGTGCTTGGTCCTGCCATGAGGGCAGGGGACTGGGTCTGATGACCTCTCAAGGTCCCTCCCGGTTCTAGTGTTCTGTGATTCTATGATTCTATATGTGGATTTAGTCCAGAATATTTAATTTTTGACTCACTCACAAGTTTCCCTTTTGAGATGCCATGATTTATAGTTACCAGAAAGAGGAAGGTATCTTAAATGAAGGTCATATACACATTCTTCATATTTCAAATATGATTCAGTTGCTTAAGAAAAAATGGTATGGGATACTTAGTTTGAGGTTTGCAAAATCATCAGTTCAGTTCTGGGCTGACTTTAATATGTCTCCATGGGACATTTTTCCCTTCAGAAGCCCTCCCTGTCCTCATTAGTTCCAGATTGCTTTCAGACAGGCACAGAATTCATAAAAAAATATAAGCATTACACAGCAAATCACAGGCACCAACTTTCTTTCCCTTGCAGATAAATACACCATTCCATAGACTAAAGCCCAACGGAAGTCTCCCATGGAAGGCTGCAAAACTTCAATTGAACTCTGCAGGAGTAGACCCAAAAGAAGTCTTGTCTCTCTTAATAGGGGCAAAAGCTGGCAAGTTTTCTGCCATAAGCCATGACAAGTGGTGCTCACATGCTCTCTCTTTCTCCCTCCCTCCCACTTTCTGACTATTTTCACTTGCAATCACTTAAATCCTACTTTTTATACTTAATAAAAATGCTTTTGTTTATTATAATTGTTTATAATTTAGATACGTTTATAATTTATATATTTGTTTACAATAATTGTTACCTGGGGGGAAGAAACTACTGTGCATATATCTCTTTCATTGATAAGGGTGTTGATCTTATGAGCTTTCACTGTGTAAAACTTTTAAGGTATGTCTACATTGCAATAAAAAACAAAAACAAAAAAAACCATGGAGTGATTCTCAAAGCCTCGGAAACTGACTAGGCTTATGGGGCTCAGATTCCAAGCCTAAACATAGCAGTGTAGACATTCAGGACTCTGAAACCCTTCCCCCCCCCCATAGAGTTTCAGACCCCAAATCCAAATGTCCACACTGCTATTTTTAATGCCACAGCTTGAGCCCACATCAGTGATCAAGGCTCTGACAGCCACTGCTATTGGACTTTTATTACAGTCTAAACACACCCTTAGACTTAGTTTTAGCTGTGCACGTATAGAGTCACTAATTCAGGATGACTGTTAGGGCACAAATAGCAAGGAGGAGAAGCAGGAAATAAAGACAGTCTTGCATTATCCCAACCCTGGGTGCTGTGTTTCTATAATCACTACACAGTGTAAGAACAGGATTCAAAAAGACCCAACAGATAATAGAATGCCCCTGGAAAAAGGAAAACAGAAAAGCGAGTCCTTTAGCTCAGTCAAAACAACCTAAAAGCTGCACAGAGTGTGAAGCAAAAAAGTGAGGAGGCCTAAAAGCGTAGAAGGTCCAAAGAAATTTTAAAAAAACCAAGACGTTACTACTCTATGTGAAGTCTGATGGTTACAGAGATACCAAGATGAATTTGAGAAATTTAAGGTTTTATAAAAATCTACATTTAAAAAAAAATCAAAGGCTATACTGTGCCAGAGAGGGATAGGCCCATGCTGGATTATGGCACAATCTCTCCTCTTCCACAGCATAACGGTAAAGTGCACACACACCAAGAAGCACATCTCACTGAGGTAATGACAATCTAACCCTTTTCTTACTTTCTTGCCTGCCTAAAGCTGAAGACGGCCTAAAACAATAGCACTAAAAATGTGAACTGTCTATTCTTCTCTGTCAAGGACACTGTGATCCCACAGTCACAGAACTGAGCTTTTTTTCTGATATTTCACAGTATTCTGCATTTTTATCATTGCATTTGCCATTTTCTGCAGTCAAATACCCAATATTTTACTTTTTGTCTTCCTTGCCACACTGGGACCTGCCAGAAGCTGTCTCTTGTTCCCAAGTTTTCTACTCGAGGGGAAGTTAAGTCCATTGGCAGTGATGCTGATACTGTTCCATGGAGATAGGACATAGGTTAATCACAACTACCCTCCCCTTTTTATCCTCTCTTCTGTCCATTGCTTACAGCCCAACTTTCTTCTCTGGCAAACTCAGGACAAAACATGTACCAGAAAGTTTGTTAGCTATCACAGTACTTCAAAGGTTACGGTAGCTGGCTAAACAGTCTGGACGTTGTTGTTTGGTTGTTTTTTAATGAAAACAAAGATATTCAGGCAACAACCAGATTCCAGCAGCCAAAGCTTTTAGAAGACCATCAAATATCGTGAGACTATCAATAAAACTATGAAAGTTGTCAACATTGTGCACCTTCTGCCCAACTTCATTGTAATGAAAACTGAATTTCTCACTCAATCCCCTACTCAGACCACTAGATTGCTGTGGTGTTTGACCACCACTGGTAATAGCAGTTCTACTGAAAAACATCAACTGGGCCATGAAATAGATTCTGTGGCATGTTGATGAATAGCTCTTTAAGCTGAAATTGAAGAAGAGTTCACTTCAGAATAATGACTTACGCAATTTTTCATTAAATCAAAAGTGCCACTGGGGAATAAATACCAAACGTTTTTATGTCTCAAACATACTGGAGTAAAATGCGAGTAATAGCAACAATTTTGCCATCACTACAAGTTTTTTCACATTGCAAAAAGTTCCAGTTAAGGACAATACCAAACAATTTTTTTATCCAGACAATTATTCAGCCTTTTCATTAATACTCAAAGAGAACAATGACTGTCCCAGGACAGAAAGTGCTCTTTGCATGAGATAATGAAAATGGAGGCACAAAATTATGGAAAGTATTTGTCTGTCACAGAACATAGCTGCCTGGTTGCTAGGTACTCTCCATGACAGGGATCCTATTACCACAGTTCTCTGAAGGCTTTTCCAATAGCTTCTCTGTGTAATTTGAGGTGTTGCCTTTGCTCTCTAAGGCTTGATATGGATTAGGCTCTGGCTAGAGCTGGTGACATAATGCAAGAAATTATTGGCAAATATTTTTGTAATTGATATGATGAGATCAATCTGTTATTCATGAGGTGACATCTTCAGTTGTTCTCAAGTGTTCAGATAAGCATCAAATGCCACCCAATTTGAGGACTTTTCATAAGTTTTGCACCAGGGATTTTTATCTGGAAATTCATAATGGGCAGAGTTTTATTTGTTACTCAACATTCATCCTTTCTTATTCTCGTGATTAAGAAGTTTCAGTTAGGGAACAGAAATAATATGATGGACACAAGTCTAAAAAATTATGTCAGAAGTTAGACTTTAATATTCAGACTTAAGCACTTAAATGAGTGTTATGACTTTCAGACACGTTAAAACAATGACCAACTCATTGCCTCAAGACAAGAGATTAACGTCAGCTGACCTTTGACATAAGGTTTCCCCATTTTTCTCCTGCTCCTCTTTCTTTCCAGCAGTCCACACTGAACACATTTACAACATCACAGTCATTCTCATGTAACTGACTGTGAAATAATTAACAGAAGATTTTGATCACTACTCTTAGATTTCAATTGGAAAAGAAACAAGGTTGTGACCTGAGGGAGAATTATATGATTCAAAAATAAATAACAGCAACAAGGCAATGCGGAACCATGGTGTTGTATTAAGTTACTTTGGGGATAAACTGGACCAAAGCCATGCCGTTTATATGCAGCATTAGATCTGGAGCTCAGCTTCCCCAAAGTTGCTAGTGTTTGAATTCAGTATTCCAGTTCAGCCACTCATTAAGTGCCCTGCACTGTGACATTCAAATCCAAACAAGGAAAGATGTGTATTATATTCAAAAGTCTGGTTTTACCCAATGCGGGCTGTGTCTACACTTGCATTTGCTCAACAAACTTTTGTCATTCACAGATGCACAATGAATGATAAGGTTTTGTTACGGCAAGGGCACATGTGAATGCTGCTTTGTTGGCAAGAGCGCTCTCCTGCCGACAAAGCGAAACCTGATCATTGGGGGTAGAAGGATTTTATCGACAAAAGTGCGTTCCAAAAGAATTAAGCTAGGCTGACTTTTTGCAACAGTGCCATGTTGATACAGCCTCGTACTTAAAAGTGGTGTAGTATAAACATACCCACAGACACATGTCCAAGCCAGGATGTTCTGATCCAGTGCTACAGGTGAATGCCTTCAGAATTCAGAAAAGTTGGATCCAGTTAATTGGGCTCAGTCCATCTGAGTAAATGTTCTCTCAGTTGAATTTCCTCTCGGAGAAAGATCTTCTTTTGATGGAATGCGAGATTGTTCATTCTTATGTTTTCGCTCTCCTGAATGTTTTCATTTGCACCAATAATTACATCAGCTGACTGCACAGAGTTTTTCTCTCTGTGAGAGATAAAGCCACATCACTGCTATAATATGCTACTGCTGATGGGACTGTGCTTTTAACTAAACATCTTGTGTTAAGAACAAAATACATTACTTGTCCCACTTGAAAACTTCTCCCCTTACACAAATACATTTGCTTAAAAAATAAGTCATAACCAAGATGCGGATGGCAATGTGCATTGTTAATGTAAGGAACTTGCATGAGACAGAGGCAGCAAAGATGTACTCGGACAAGCTGAAAATTAGTCAGACAGTGAATATCTGAACCAGTTAATTTTATAGTTATATCTCAAGTTCAGGTTAAGAGTACAATCTGTGGGAACCCCCCCAAAGCAATCTTTGATCATAAAATATTTGGTATACCATATCCTTGGAATAAGCATAATTCCTCTGATTTAGATCTTCTTGGACCTTGTGTATAGTAGCTAATCTTCTTTGGTTTGCTATATAAACACAGTTGTGCATACCAGGTTAAGTGTTTCTAGAAGGCATTCCTACATCCTGCTGCTATGGACATTTTGACTAACCTATTACTGCTGCCTGACTTGTATACATGAACTTATTCAGTACTTTATTACATTAGTTTTATTAGGAGGGAAGATGGGTTCCTCTATGAACAGGATATCATGGCAGCAGAACCAGTAGCATTTTGTTCAAACAGAGGTGATATACTTTTGAGAATTGCTGTTTGCAGTGTACAGGTAGATGCATAGTTCAGATATGTAAACGAGCAGTTGCAGTCCCTAGGGATTCATGAAAACCATCCCTTAAGGCCTTGTCCTTGTGCATTCATACCCATGGATTTCAGGGCTAAACAAACTCATATGCAGTAAAAGTGAAATGCAGGCAAAATCTCCAAATTCGTGAAATCCCGCAAAATTGAGTTGCCCCATACAGTACCCATTCAAAACTGTAAATGAGTCCAGATTTGATTGCAAGTCCTGTTAAAAGATTTACAAACAAGTTTAGTCCAAAGTTTCACCCAACACTGATATTGCTACAGAAGTTTAACATGACTAAAGGACCATATTTTCAAGCACCCGGAACTCCCATTTTGAGCACTTTTAAGGAAGAGGCTACATTTTCAAAAGTGTTTGGTGCCCAGCACTGAAAGGGGCCACTGAGAGCAATATAAAATTACTGAGAGGTGATCATTTATGAAACTCCAGTCACTAATTTAGGTCCCTAAATGAGAGCTGCTTGTTTCTAAGGGTATATCTACACTACAGCGTTATTTTGAAATAGCTTATTTCAAAATAGTTATTTCAAAATAAATTATTTTATGCAACTACACACAAAATGCATTTCAAAATAGCATTTTGCTATTTTGAAATAGGGCATCCACACTGAGTGGACGCTGAATCGCATTTAAGGCGAGCCGGAACCAGGTCCAGCAGGGCATCAGGTCAGGAGTTACTTTGTGTGACTGCTGCCTGAGGCTATCTGAGGCCTGTGCTTAAAGGGACACCCCCTGGACAGCCATTTCTCAGCTTTCCCTTCTTGCTTGCCTACCTCGATGAGGGACAGCAAAGCATTTTGTCTCTGCGTGCTCTGGTTGCCCTCACTCGGGACACCACAGCACTCTGCAGCATGGAGCCAGAGCTGCCCCTGGACACTCTGGTGCTTCTCGTGGACGCGTTGCTGAGAGCCTGGCTGCACTTTCTGCAGGCTGCCATCCGGGAGGTCTATCAGGGGATTGTCAGTATCCAGGAGGCCCTGCGGGAGAGCTTCCACCCCAAGGAGCACTAACAGCCTCCCTGGTCTGCCCCACTGGGGGCTTGTACCTCATTCCTCCCTCACGTCCTTCCACTTACCCCTCCCTAACCCCCCTTCCTGATGTCAAATAAAATACACATATTTTCATGAACACAAACTCTCTTTATTTAACAAAATTGGGGGCAGGGGGAATGAAACTCTGGTGAGACTGGGGAAAGGAGGCAAGAAGAGAGAGAGTGGGAGAGGGGAGGGGGAAACCTGGGAGGAGGGAGCTGGATGGGGGAAGCAAGGCAAAGAAGGGGGAGGGGAAGGTCAGGGCTCAGGGTTGGGGGTCTTGACGGACCAACTTGATTTTCATGCAGACCTGCTCCTGAGTTCACATGTGGCCTTTAGTGGCCAGATTAATCTTGAGACCTCCCACAAGAAACATAATGCATTCCTCCCAGTGCTCTCTTTGGTGACACATCAGTAACACAACATAGGCCCAAAAGTCAACTATCTCCATGTAGTAGCTGACTTTGATGGATTTGAAGCTACAATCATCCATAATAAAGTCCCAAAAGTTGGATATTTCTCCAAGGATGGTGGAACATTTCTCAATCTTTCCATGATGGTGACCCCTTCGTCCAAGTCAAAACTTTTCATGACTTCCTCACATTTCTTGTAAAGGTAAAACATGTATCAGAGATAACAGTGTTAAGCCTATATAATTTATGTTGGTGTATGTTTCAAGACATTGACAGAGAATTCTTGACCTTCAAGGGTATGGGTGTGCAGGACTTGAAGGATCAATAATTCCTTTGCTTCAGGTTGTAATACAGTTTTCAACACATTGCAACTCCCCTTGTTATTTTTTAATGAGCCCTCTAGAAGGGTCATACCTATCATTTGAGAACTACTGGTCTTATAGTTAAGATACTGACCACAGAGATCGGGGTTCCATTCCTGGCTCTGTCTTAGACTTCTTGTGAGATCCTGGGCAAGTGATAACTCCTATGGGTGAAATCCTGGCTGCACAGAAGTCAATGGCAAGTTTTACCAGGATGATATCACCTGTGTACCTCAGCTCATCCATCTTCATAAAAGGGATTATAAATTCCTTCCCTAATTCACAGGGGTATTGGAAGAATAAATCTATAAATAAATGAGTCACTCGGATCCTACATTGATGAGGCTATACAAATAGAATTACGGTATCAGTTCTGGGAGAATTCTGCAATTTTACTTTATTTCAGGTTTTTGGGTTGTTGGTTTTTTTTTCATTGCTTTGTTTACTATTCTTCAGTAACAAAGGGTACATCTACACAGCGGGGCTACATCAAGATACCGGAAGTATCCCATAATAGCTACCCTGTGTCTTTTGAATGCACCTGCTATTTCAAGACCTATTTCAGCATCCCTGTAACCCTCGATCCACTTATTATTGTTCTACATGCTTATCTCAAAATAGCATGTTATTTTGAAATTTGGCGGTGTGTAGACATACCAAATTTCTAAATACACTATTTTGAAATTCAATCGAAAGAAGATACACAATTTGCGCTACGCAAACTGTGTATCTTATTTCGAGTTTAGGGTGCTGTGTAGATAGATGCACCCTTAATGTCCTTGTATTAGTCGTTTCCCAGTGAAGAAAGAAACAGGTATCAAGAGAGGCACTGTCAGGTTAAAAAAATCATAGATTATATATGGATTTCTCTTTCTGCCTAAATCCTCTTGCAAAGATAGTGAGTAACAAATGAGATGGATAGCAGCTGGAACAGCAGTATTGCATGAAATGTATGGCTATACATATTTGGTACATTTGTATTTCATTTTCTATTTGCTGAATGCTCAGGGGGAGGGTGGAATCATCCGTGGCAAAGATAAAGAGAGAGCAAAACATTAAAAATCTTCTTCTTTATGAGCCTGCCTCCCACTGATTTCAACTGGCGCTAAACTGGCCCTAATAGAGACTGGTGAAACTTAACATGCTCAGAGTTCAGATTCAGTTCAGATAAACATTCAAAAGTTCATAGGTTTATCCAAACTATCTGATCCTCTAGAGCCCAAAATTGCACTGGAAATCTCCAGAGCACCCTTTCTTGAGAGACTTCCTGTACTTCCACTTTTGGACAGTAATCAGAATTGGGGAGGGGGGACAAAATGTATTCAAGCATTTCAGAAACACAACCCAGAATTACTGCAAATTAATAATTTGAAGTTATGCTCAATTTGAGCAACGTCCAAGTACTTTTTTCTACCCAAATGATTTTTGTCGCCCCTTCTTTAGAACAACTTCTGAGCTGGAATCAGAGCATATATACTTCATCACCTGAATTCACTCTTTCACTATTGGATTCTTACCCTTTTTCATAAGTAGCATTTTGTGGCTAGAACCAAGGAGAGGTAAAACTCTCTGCCTCCACACACTGGTCTTGGTAACCTTGCAGTACATTTCTCTGTGTAAAATATTTATGAAAGAGAAGGCAAGGAGGGAAAATGAGTAGGGTGGGATTGTTGACAACCTATTGACACTGCAGATACATTTTTCTTTATCATGATAGATGTCGGTTTGGCTCTTTGATACAAGAGCTACAGTAGCAGCAATGTTATATCAGCAACAACATGATCCTCTACTAAGATTTCATTGGCTTCCCAAAACCTTGCAATCACGAGAGTCTCATCTGTAGTCTAATTAACTGGGATCATTTTTTCACTATTACAAATGGTATTTTTAATTATGTTTGAGATTGAGAGGTACCTTAGTTCCAGTACAGATAAAAGCTCAGGTTGCTCAATAATATGCAACTGTGCAGGCCCTTTTCTTCATCCATAGAAGTATTTAGTCAGAAAGAGGTGGGGCCAGTTTCATCTTTGCTGTGGCTCCATAGAAGCTATAACCTGGAGCCAACTACCAGGCAACTTTCCAAAACCAAAAGCATCCCTTTCTGTTATTGGTACTGTGCATGTACAATAGCATTCCTTTCCCTTTCTGGTACTGTGTATATACAATAGTAGCACCATATGTCAAGGCATAAGTGAGTATTTCCAATGTCTGACTGGAGATATATAGACTCCTTCTACTCTCCTCCTGACAACTGAAAAGAAACACATAGATTTCTATTATGCCACTGCAACTGTCTAATTAAATAGGAGGCAGAAAAAAACAATTACTCTATGGCAAGACTTCCTGTACTGTCCACACCTTTCCTAAAGCTGTGTACACGGGTGTTGGTGTTTAACGGATCTACCACCTCTTAAATGGTGTCCATCACAAGAGAATAAAGCTTTCTGAACTC